AGTCATGTGTTATGGTTGTAGCTGAGAATGATGACCTGAAAATGACGACTCGAAAGTGACGATTTGCAACCTCATGAGCCATAATATTGGAAGTCAAACTTCTGACAATCATGCTCTATAGAGCTAGGACCAGAACCAGTTTTTGTAGAGTTGATCGAATGCCAATTTTGGTTGCTGGAGATGCCTACCATAGAATCCCACCTTGAGATGCCCATAAGAAAATCTTGGTCTCTCAAGTCATAGCATAAAATCAAACCCCTTTGAAGGTTGCGCTTTGCAGAGTTAAGATTGAACTGAACTTTCATAGAACAAATGAGCTGAGAAGCTGATAGTTGATGGACGCAAGCTCTTGTAGATTGAATGGGCTAAAAAAGCCAATAGCTAATGGGCTCAAAGGCCAATAGTATTTTCTAATGAATTGATAAGTTTAGAAGCTGATAACATATTTTCGAGTCTTCCAAGCCAAGGAGTTAACAAACTCTTGAGACCTGTAAAAATTCATTCTAAACATAGAACTTGACAAAATGCCATTAGTTTATCAATAGTCAATAATACATGAGATACATCAACATTAAAGTGGCACAATAATTTAGAATTAAATATAAATGTTTGTGACATGAGTCATCAAAATAAACAATGCTAAAATGTGAGTTTCAAAATATATTCAAGCAGCAAGTTAAGCACATGCCAAGTAAAATATGAAAGTTTATTTTTGCTGCTTATGTAAGTTTATTTTTGTTGCTTATGTATTCCTACTCCCCCTCTCAAAGAGAGATTTATCTCTTTAAGTTAGAACCAATAATAAAGACCACCAGCTTGTGGATACCATTAGCTTGTGGATTATTCCATTATTTGCATGAGGCTCCACAAATGTATTAATATAAATAAATGTCATTTAAGCCACTCACTTTTAGTTGAAACATGAAGAATATATTATATTCAATATATTTAATAAATAGGGGCTTAGCATATCTTATTGATGAATGGCCCATGAGAGGTGGAACACAAGATAACTGGTGAAATGGCAAGCTAGTTGCAAGCTAGACCTGAGCTCAACTATCATAAGGATGAGCTCAAGCAGTGGAGTTCATCTAAAGTTGTTTACCTTATCCAAGGTAGTTTGCCTCGGATGGGCTAGCATGAGGATAAGCTCAAGCAGTTGAGTTCATCCGAGGTTGCTTACACCGTCCAAGGGAGTCACATCATCCAAGGGAGTTCACCTCGAAATGGATTGTCATGAGGATGAGCTCAAGCAGTTGAGCTCATTCGAGGTTGCTTACACCATCCAAGGGAGTTCACCTCGGCATTGGTTGTCGTGAGGATGAGCTCAAGCAGTTGAGTTCATCCGAGGTTTACCTTATTCGAGGTAGTTCACACGATTATCATGAGGATGAGATCAAGTAATTGAGGTCATCCGAGGTTGTTTACCTCATCCAAGGTAGTTCACCTCAAGATGGGCTAGCATAAGGATTAGTTCAAGTAGTTGAGTTCATCCGAGGTTGGTTACCTCATCTAGGGCAGTTCACCTCGGAATGGGCTATCATGAAGATGAACTCAACCAAGTTTTATGATCTTAAACAAGTTCCTAATTCAGCACATGAAGTTCCTATTGTTAAAGTCCAAGGCTAACCATATTATATGATAAGGATACAAATATATACATATTTATATTTTTAGCTCAGTATCACAGTTAATAACTGTAACTTGAATAAATTATGAAGTTGTACCTTTTAATCATAGGTTCCTTATATGACTCTTCTCCCCCCTCAACCCGCACATTTGGGGTCGGTAAACATAAATGTTGTAATCGTAAATTACATTATTTGCATTTTTTATGCTTTAACATGTCCAATAAACAAGCAGTCATGCATATTGTAATAAAAAGTCTTTCTAGTTTGTCAATATAATAACAAAAATTGGACATGCGAAATAACTCATAAAAATCTTAAATGTGCAAAATAATTTTGAAATTTCTAATATGTAACACTTACTTGACTTGCAGAGCAGAATTAATTTATACTTGAGAAAGAATTGTGCTTGATGAGATAGAAACTCGAGAAAGAATTTAGCTTCTTACGAATGATGTTAACTCCTTGCCTTGACTCAGGAGCAAATGTGGAGAAAAAATCTAGCCTATCATAAATGATGCCAAAGAAGAAATTTACTTGATCATCTTTGTAAGCTGTTGAGCTTTATGGTTTGGGCCCGCGGCCTTTTGAAAATTTTTGATGGAGGAGTTGTTCATAGCTCGTATAGGAGGAGCTCACCATAAAGGGATTTCTCTAGAACCCACCCCACATGGAGTCCCTGCACTTTTCCATCTCTAAAATAGCAATGTATATTTTTAATCATAAGTGCAAATGAGCAAAGTGGCATGATTATGATACATAAAAAATGAGATGGCAAAATGATATCATGAATGCAAAAACAAGTGCAGAATAAATGGAAAAATGTGGAATGAATGCAAAGAATGCAGAAAGCAATTAATAATAAATTTCAATATAAGATTGGACCAAGCTTGGGCCAAAGCTGTAATTTGCTGCGGAGCTCAATTGCTTTCTTAACAACCTGTATCACGAGGACTTGAAAACAAGAGAAATTAAAGGCATCCAATTTTATAATCAAGAAAGTATATATAAAACAAATAAAAGAAAAAGATTACTAGTTCATCTTTTTTAATTTTCAAAACAATATATGGTTGATGAACTAAATTTATATACATACTAATGTAAAATTTATGCCTTGATATTATTGACATTTGGATGAATTTTATGAAAATTTACTTAATTTTGCATAATTTTCATTCTGTGCTGGAGAGGACTTAATTGGAAAAAGTCACAATCCTTAGAACTAAATTGAAAAGATATGAAATTTGAGGATTAAATTGTGCAGAATCCAAAAGTAAGGGGTCGGGACTGTAATTTCACCGTTAACAGAATTTGCAGAGAAGGACAAAAACCCGACACGGACTGTTTAGGACAAATGTAGGAAAAGTGTCGGCACGTTGTGGAGAGTGTTGACACCTTTCAGCTCGTGCTGCGTATCTTTCAGCTCATGCTCGACCTCTGCACCTCGTGTTCAAGTTCTGCACTTCATGCTTGGCCTCTGTAGCTCGTGGCTGACCTCGGTAGTGAGTGTTTGAGCTCTACAACTTGTGCTCAAGTTTTGCACTTCGTGCTTGACTTCGGTAGCAAGTGTTTTCAGCTCATGCTCGACCTCTGCACCTCGTGTTCAACTTTTGCACTTCATGCTCGGCCTCTGCAGCTCGTGGCTGACCTCGGTAGTGAGTGTTTGAGCTCTACAGCTTGTTGTCACAGACCGCGAGCTCGGACGCCCAAGGGAAGGGTCCCAGCGCCAGGGTCGCAGTGCAACATCGCGGGCTCGATGGCCTGGCGCGCTCGCTCCGAGCGTCTAGATGGCACAGCCGCAAGTGGAAATGGTAGCGACGCCCAGACACGAACTAGAATCGCGGGGAAGTCTCCAAAAGTAGCTTGTGAGGAGGGGTAAGGCTCATAACAGTGGTCCAAGATAAGGTCGTGAACAGTAGTCCGGATAAGGACGTGAACAGTAGTCCGACCTGGGCTGCTTGTAGATAAGTCTAGAGTAAGGAGAATTCTAGAATAAGGACAGGTGGGAGGATTTGGGAGGGTTCCAGGAAGTGTACAATATGAGGACTCTTTGGGAATGCTCTAGAACCTCTGTCTGGGGTGGCTGGCCTCCTCTATAAATAGGAGGAGCCTTAAAAGGTAGAGGCACTCAACCAAGCATTACCCAAACTCTTGTAAATTTTCCTTGCGTCTAATAAACTCTCATTTTTCTCCCAATTTCTAACCTTTGCATTTTAAGCTTCACAAGCCTCTTTGTCCCAGAGGTAGACTGCGCCCAGCACTAAGGGAAGGCTAACTTGGTTTGGTTAAGGGGTGAAATCCAAGCTAAGTGCTGCACGGTGACTAGCTAGAGTCTCGTCCCGTGACAAGTGGTATCAGAGCGTGGTTTGACAGCCTAGTTACGTGGAGGAGGATCGTGACGATGGCAAGCCAGGGGGTTGAGGCTAGCAAAGCTGCAGAGGTTCCAGAGGAGAGGGGTCGTCGG